ATATATATATATATATTATATATATATATAATATATATATTATATATATATTATATATATATATAATTAAATACATTGTGCCTAATATATTTAGAACCATGTATTTTTGTTGTTTATTGCGCATAAGCTTTTTTCGCGCCTCGTATTAATATATTAAATATTTATTGCTTTTCCGACCTCTTAATGTTCACAACCATGCAAAGAATTTCCGTCCAATTTTGTGTTCTCTGTATCGACGGTTTAGTTTCGTGTACATGTAAGAACAAAAGCTATGTCGCTGTGCAAGAAATGAATCCCAATATTTTGACGAAATTCCGTTTGGGAGTTCCCGTCTCCGTTTTCCGCTTCCTTTGATTTCTTTTAACTTGCCTGCCTTGCCCGTGTATGTCCGTCAGTGAACATCTTACAGAGGAACTTGGTTCAGGAAGGGATTTTCTGTTATCTATTAATATGAACGTCAGACCGAACAAATTTTTGGACGCCCGAAAAACGTTTTGTACGTCTTTAAATATTTTCAATGCTGGATCCACCTATACACAAATCCACCTATACACAATGACAGTATTGTAGTAAAATAATGTTCTAGCATACTTGTTCTGGAAAAAAAATTGACATGTCCTCTTTTACCCACGTACCTGCCAAATTATGTTGTTTGTACCATATCTCAATTATACCATATCTTGTTTTAAGCTTACTTAAACTGCACCTTTGCATAAGCATTTGCTCATTCGTATACATCTGCTCTATTTGTTGATGAAAATGAATGAAATTAATTATTATCAAAAAATAAATACAAATGCTTTTTAAAGATTTTCAAACATTTATAGTTATCATATAGCCTATACCTGAAACATAAATAACACAATTCTAGAAATTCTAATCCAACATTTTCACAAAAATTGCACCATTTTTTGTGAAAGCATTCATTTAAAAATATTTTATTTTCTCATAAGATATGTATTCTAAAAGCTGCATATCTATTAAAAAAATTGTGTTAGCTTACCTTAAGAAAAAAAACAAAATTGTTTTTTTATCAAACTGTTTCCAAAATCTAAATTACAGTAATAAATACCAACAAAGTAGTTTCTGAATTAAAGTGTTCTCTTCAGTAAAACGTTTATGAGATACTGTTCTATATTTTTAATATTGTTTATTTTTGTAGGCACAAGTACCACAAATACTTTAAATAGACTTATTAAGTTTCTCATCTGTAAATATTTCCTTTTTTTTTTTTTTTGATTGGTAATGTATAGATCACCTTAGGCGAGCAGTTTTTGTTGTTACATTGTAGATCGAAGACTGGGATTTGATTAGCTTGTTTTGCTGGGAAACTTTACTTTATTATTTCTCAATGTAGCAAAATGTGCTTTTGAGTCGTGCCGCAAAAATGATCGCAACCGTATCGAGCAGTGCTGACGATCATGCGACATCTACCGGCACGACCGAGAAAGACGCGAAATACCGTGAGCTCGTAAAGACAAGGAATAAAAGGAAGAAACATAAACCCTAATAAAACAATATTGTAAGTTTTTTTATTAGTAGTTCTGCCAATCGCACGGCGATTGAGGTGAACCATAACAGTGACAATGAATTGGGCACAATTAGAAGAAATTCTGAAAGACGAAAAGAAATTTAGAGGACTGTACTTTGCCTACTCAAGCTTGTAGTACAAAATATTTATAATTATTTAGTTTCTAATAAAATTGTTTTGGATATACACGATATTTTATGTAAATCCTGAAGCCAGTGTCGGACTTTGAAAATGCTTTGGACAGGCTCAAGTATGTTTTATGTTAATCACGTGGGCCGAGGTCAGAGCCTCGTGAAATTGGACACACGTTGTGAAGCGTCACTGAGCCTTACGTGTATCATTTATGAATTTAAAGAATGATTTGTTAATACAAGGCCTTTCCGTTCGGGGAATCTTCGTACATGCTTAAAAAATACACCAGTTCTATTATGTTGGCAAAATCAATACATACATCACCTTTAAAATCTACGAGGTTGTTACTGTGAAACGAGCAAAAACGGCGTGTATTCCCATGTAATAGACTAAATCTGCATATTCTATTAACTGAAGAGAGTTTTAAAAAACGCTTTTAATTATATAAGGATACTTCCTACATCATTTCAATTGTTTACGTTTTCACTATTGCTTGCGCAGTATAGAAAAAATATTGTATAGCCGCAAGAAAAAACTGCGAATTTTCGACAGAAAAACTCTTTTTGCCGGGCCCTGGTAAAGAAAAAGTGGACGTGTCCCTCTAAGTGGTTGTTCCTATAAATGGGTCATTACACGTCAAATCGCACAAATTTCAGGGAAAATTGACCTTAATGACCCAGATTTTCAACTTTTTTTTTCCTTGAAGAGTTTAAGCAAACATGTAAAAACGTGTTTTTTTCATTTTTTTTCACCAAAAATATTTTTCAAGATTATATGAATTTTCAAAATTTTCGAAAAAATGCTCGCATCGCTAGAGTTAATACCTTTTTACTCGTCTTGTAATTGTGACAGGAATTGAATATTGTGTGACATTAAATAACAATGGATACTCTTTCATTTGATGTATATATTAAATTCATTACATTAAAAAAAAACAACATTTTTTAAAAATTTCTCCCACAACTTAACAGTTTAAAAATTTGAAAAAATATCATTGAAATCTCTGAAAAGTTCTACATAAGTTAGGTAAGTTACAAAGTAGAACATTGAAATGATTGTGAAAAATTAAATGTAATAGCTGAAAAATTAAATGTACTTGCTGATTTGCTGCAGCGTCTGGTAGAGCGTCTCCCCTTAAGCACGTGATAATCAGGAGACGATTATCACGTGCTTATCAATATACTTTCATAGAGTATTAAATAGAAATATCCTTTCACATTGTACTATGTTCCATATACATACATATGACCTTCATAGCGGATTAAATTCAAATCAATAAGTGGCGAACAGATTCTATTTAGTAATATTAAACGGACGGAATATACGAATAGGAGTATGTGATACTGTTAATTACTTTGACATTTCTTCACGTTACAGAGAATAGCGTTAATTCACATTTTCATAAACAAATGAAATAGGTTTTTTTTGTGCCGGCTACTGTTTTTTTTATTATATCGTTGTTGTAATAGTTCTCTCTCTCAGTATTGTTACGCGTTGCTAGAAATATAAAGGTCATATTCTTCATATTATCGTTAGCCCACTTAAATAACGTCTTGGGTAAATTAATATGTTCCCGTCAGGACTGAGGACTAGTTTTTATCGAGAATATAGTTGTCCCGTACTCCCATGGCCCCTTTCCATTTACACATGCGGCAGTCGGCGAATCCCGAGTAGTGTGGACGGGTTGCTCGCTATTCGCCGTGCGCCGAACATTCGGTATTCGCCCTTCCCACCGCGTGTCGGTCTTTAGGACACATCAAGGCAACGAACATTCGCCGAACACATCAGCTGTTCGGGATTGGACGGGTAGTAGCTCGTGCTCGGCGAATGCCGAATGTGTGGGGCGGCCTTAAGAGGTTGCGAAGCGAAAAATGCCATTCAGCACTCACAATGAAGGCATCTTTGTGGAAGCATGAAGTCGCATGGTTTTATAATACTAGTCACTGACCCCATCCGAAAAATATGTCTGTTAACATTATTATAATCTTACTTGAGAAGTGGTATTAGTTTACACTGAAAAAGGTGAATTGAATTCGTGTCGTGTTTCCGGCATCAAGATTTTTTTTTAAAAGATGCTTTGCTTTCTCTGGAGTATAGCACAAAAGGATGCATAGTAGCTCAGACATTAATTCACAGCAGTTCCTGAATTACATCTTCAAGTACGAAAGAATAATTTTCTTCAAAACTCTCACTGGATAAAGAAAACACCCAGCGTCAAATTTTATTTTTGGCTTACGAAGAGAGGAGAAGACGGCAAATGATGGGCGAAGACAGCAGAAGAAACAGAAGAGGAACTTACTCCGTCGTTTGTTTATTACTCCTATCAGGTGATACGTTTGGATGACTGGGACCTGCGGTGCAAGTTTATTCATCATTGTCACTGTCCAACATATTTGCGACATGAACGAGTATGGTCGATTCTTTCTTTCTTGAAAAAAATTCACTTTACTTGTCACGAGAAGGAATTTTGAAAACCAGTTTTTCCAATCTTTTTTCGACAGCCACCAGACAATTATCAACTACTTAAGAATGCTGGTTGTAACAATCTAACATACACTTATGCAATTATGTATTTTCATATTAAGAAAATGCTAATAACAATAGTATTGATGTAATTGTAAAACTATCTACGGGTACTAACTTTACAGAACAACGCACATATTTCGCGGGTTCCTCTGTATACACAACTGACTCGATTTATCCGAGAATGAAAGATGTTCTGTTTGAGGCAGATCTTAGCAGTGCCAGTTATCTGTAAATAAACGTAATTGTCGGATTTCGTCAGAGGATTTCCATTTGAGACCGTATGTGTGTTTCTGCGATTCATAACACGACACAAGTCTTACGGTTGCTTTATATTGCACGTCACGATGCGTTATATCATTGACGCTCCGTAATTCGATTTTTTCTTTAAATACCCCAGGGCCCCAATTTTTTCTTTAAATACTTTTTTAAGTATGAAGCAAATAATGGTAAAGAAAGTGGTGGTGATTCCAGTTTGCCCTGTCTGTTTTTTCGAAATATTGATAAAACTTCGAAATGGTAAATTGTTTATTAATGTTATAGCCTGATAGTGGAAGTAAAAAACCCTCCAGAAACGTCGCAATAATGTGTTCTTCAAGAATAAAATAAAAGGTTCAAGAAATATCAATGATTTTTTTTATTAACTTAACGTTTATTGACTGCCTGTTGATAGTAAGGAAGAACACATTTCTTTACATAATATAAATACAAACTATGCAAACTTATGTACTTAAATGTTATTACTATTTTGCACATATTAACTACCTTGACAATCTTAAGCTCGTGACTCCAATCGAGTCTTGAAAAGAATGATTACGTTTAGTATTTTTTAAGCATTAAATCTATACACACAGATTGAGACAGCCAAGAAGAGAAGCGAACAACCTGACTGGGACGGACTCAGACTGACAGAAGGACGGACGGATTGAGTGAGACTGACTGACAATATGACGGACGATGGACAGTGACGGGCAGAGTGGGGCGGGCACTAATTTTTACGGCTAACTCTGAAGTTTCAAAAGTTTGAATTTTTTGCGAGGTCTTCGTACAACTACAAAATTAAAGATAGTGTTCTGTCAAATTAAATTTGTTGTCCATAATATGTTCTTTTTCATGAATATTTTTCGACAATGTTAATAGTTTTCGTTCAATATTGCGAGCAGTTTGTCCAAATTTAAAAAATTACAAAAATCAGATTTTCTCAGAAACGGCTCCAAGTTTTTTCTTTAAGTTTGTGGTAGGGATTATGTTAATTATCACTCTATGAAGTCACATAAACGCCATATTGCTGTATACTTGTGTTTTTTTTCAAAAATGACAAAAAATTAATTTTTTTGCTTGTTTCTCACATTACAATTATTCTTTACATAAGCGGTAATTTGTTCACATTTTTATATTTATGAGTACACGTGTTTTAAATAATGTCTGATAAAGCTTCTCGAAAACTCAACCATTTTGTGTCAAACTAGCTCAAAATTTCGCAATTTCAAAAACGCTCAAACGCCATTTCTCAAAAACGGGTCCAAAATTTTTCTTCAAACGTTTCGAAAGGGTAGAGTTAGTTGCACTCTTTGACAAGACGTAAAGTTAATTTCGTACTTTTTATTTTCTCAAAAATTACACAAAAGTCAATTTTTTGGAAGGTCTCACGCTGTTAATATGCATTTCCAATTTGTAATCACTATTATATTTGTGAGTTAAAATCCTTAAAATGTTTTCAAATTAAGTTTTTCGAAAAGTCTAAAATTTTCTGTTAAAAAGAGCTTCAAATTACGCCAGTTTTTTAAAGACGGCTCCAACATTTTCAATGAAAATTGCCATTTAATAAGACGAGATTTTACTGTGCATTAATATTCTTAAAATAATATTTCCGTTATACTATTAGGAAACTGAACAATTAAGAAAATGTGAAAAAAATGAACTTCGGGCGGCGGTAGATGGCAGCTGGCAAGAGGATGGGGCAATTCTGAATAGCTTGCCGAGACCAAGGAATAGAAAACTAATACGAGAAAGTCTGTGCCATTCTGTAGCGCCATTAGTTTATTTCTGGGTTAGTGTTTGTTTTTCCCACACATGTCCCTCGTCATTTCTTCCCCTGCGCCTCGCCATTTCCCGCGCGACCTCTACAATTTTCCCAAACGCATGTCTCCACCGAACTCATCATTTTTTTTAAATTTTATTTATTTTCATTCGGAAGTACATAGTTCAGTTACATTACTTTATCATATGTATTGTATGACTTACAAATATTCTTATTACCTATCTAAAAACTAACTCTAGCTACAGGAAGGGGTAGGAAGCTTCAATCTGCACCTACTCTTCACAATTGTTGGAAAATATATTTAGCAAGGCATTTAAAGGGTAACGTTTTTTTTTTATTCGTGTTGGAGTATAGTCTGTTGAGGCGAGGTTGTATTGGCTGATCCCGAACTCATCTGTCGTGAAACTCCTGAAGGAGCCGGACACCTACTTTTAAGTACATGAATCGCCACGTTTCCGAGTTCTGTGCGATTATAATGTGTGTTGCAATAAACTGTTTCGTATGTCAGAATTCACTAATAGTTTTCTTTTTAAACCGGGTAGCTGCAGGATTGAGGTGTAATTCCCTATCCAGCAGTAGCATACTTACAAGATTTTATATCGATGGTTTCTTATAAATTATCAAAACTCCGCCATCTATCCTTAGCATATGATCCTATAGAGAAAGGATAATAAATTGTTGCAGGTTTTTAATCTGCATCTTCAATATTTTGGCGTTATTTTTGTTACAGGGCACAGGTACGACTTCGGAATCTGTGACAGTCGTACGTAGAGAAGAAAGTGCAGTTGAGGTAAGATTACTTATTGACGTTTATCCCAACATCTGTTATTGGCATGTGACCCTATAGAGAGAGGATACTCAATTGTTGGAGATTTGTAATCTACATATACAGTTTTACTTTCCCGTGTACGTAGTGAGTAATAAATGTAGTACAGGGAAAGTTATGTAATGCTGCAGAAAATGGATTTTGAGATTTCATGGGAAATACACGTTTTTGGGTCCCCTGATACTGAAAAAGTGCTTTTTTCAAAACGTCCGTCCGTCTGGTGTATGTGAACAAAACTAGCGCTTAAACCTTGCGTAGGATTTTTTCAAAATTGAATCATCCCCTGTCCATTTGGCCTGAGACGAAACTCTGCGACTTTGAAAATCATTCATTAGTTTTTGGGGGGTACTTAAACCGAGGCCCCTGGGACATTTTCAGAAATTTTCTCAAAAAGGGCGCCAATTTTTTTCTTTAAAATTCTTTTAAAAATATATTAAAATTCACTTATAAAGTGGTGTAGGTCCGATTTTCTCGGTTAACACTGAATTTTCTAAAATTTCAAAGCTTTGCATTTGTTTCGGGGTCTTCCTACAATTACAAAATTAGAGATAGAGCTTGTTTCTTGAAATGAAATTTGTTGTCCATAATTTGTTCTTACATTAAAGTCAAGTAATTTTTTTTGAAAATTTTAGTAGTTTTCGCCCAATATTGCGAGAAATATGAGCAATTTTAAAAAAAAATACAAAAACAAGATTTTCTCTAAACGACCAAAATTTTTTCTTTCAGATTTTGGTAGGGATAGTGCTAAATGTACTCTTTAAGATGGCATAGATGCCATATTGTTCTATTCTTTTGTATTTTTCAAACATTACAAAAAGGTATTTTTTTAACTTGTCTCTCACGTCGTTAATATTTACGTTAACGTCAATTTGTTCACATTATTGTATTGGGTACATGCGCTTTAAATAATGTTTCTTGAAGTAAAGTTTCTTGAAAACTCAACGGTATTCTGTGAAAACTATCCCAAAATTCTGCATTTTCAGAAACGCTCGAACACCATTTTCTCAAAAATGGCTCCATATATTTTCTTCAAACTTATCGAGCGGATAGTGCTAATTGCGCGCTATAATTGACATAAAGTTCATTTCGCGGTATTTTTTGTTTCTTTTTCAAAAAACACAAATGCTATTTTTTTAAGATCTCATACACCGTTAATATCCACATTTTTAGCAATTTGAAAACACTATTGTTTTAGTGAATTAATGTGCTTCATATGATTTTAAAAGTAGGTTTTTGAAAACAAAAATGTTCCGTAAAAAAGAGCTTCAAATTTGAATTTACAGTTGCGCTTAATCGCCATTCAAAAAAAAAAGGTCTCCAAAGGTGTTTTATAAAGGAAATTGACATTTAGGACGACGATTTACTGTTCTTCAATATTCTTAAAATAATATTTCCGTTATACTGTTAGGAAACCGAATTATCAAGAAAATTTCAAAAAAATGTATTCTGGCAGCAATGGATGGCTATATGGCAAGGTCGTATAGCTAGCCGAGACCAAACGAAATAGAAAACTAATACGTGATAGTCTGTGCCATTCTGTAGCACCACTAGTTTTTTATTTGTGTTACAGGACACACGTGCGGCTTTGGAATCTGTGACAGACATACCTAGACAAGAAAGTGCAATTGAGGTAAGCTTATTTATCCCTGAAGTGGTTTGATTATCGTTTTCAATTATTTATTGTATATAGTTAGTGCAATAACGTAATCATTATAAAACTTTAACTAACATTGTAAACATTTGACGTATCAAATACCTAAAAGTAAATTCGAAGAAAATGACCAAATATAAATTTGATCTCCAAATGGAAATAAGGTTTGCGAATTCATTCCCAACTTGTTATAAAACTAAACTCAGCGAAGGAGTAAGCCGTATATATCAAAAGACATTTATTAAGCGTAAGGGAGACCCCAATTGGTAGAAGCAAAAACAAAAACAAAAAAACAAAAAACAAAAAAAGAAATTAAATAAATAAAAAAAAAAACTATCGTGCATGAAAGAACAATTTCGCTCCCAATACAAACATTTTTTCTTTCATGTTTTCATCGAAACACTGTTCACATCGTCTTGAAATAAAAGCGACGAAGTCTGATGGAATCGGAAGGTAGACGTGGGGTAGATGCGGCGGAGGTCCGTCGTCGAAGACCGCATGGCTCTGCAAAAGTTTTCTCTCATAAAGGATATTTCCTGTTCGTCGGAAGATGAGATGAATAAGCTAACCGTATGCTTTGCGGAATATTGGGGGAGTAAAGAATTTATACCTCCATAACAATCAGTTCGGCGGTACAAATTGGCGGATGCAGAAAGAATAGGTAAAAATGAAAACAATGTCAATTTATTAAAAGCTGTTAAATAGTGATTTAATGTTGCTGTTTTGAAAGTACATACAAGGTGTGTTCCATCAGTAATGCGACCAAATTCTTAAAAAAATCATTTATTCAATGTATTCCTACAATTAGTCAACCGTTTTCAAAATAGCTCTTCCTGCGTATACACCCTTCTGGAGGCGGAGTTCCCAGGCTTGGAAGGCCTTCTCTGGGGTGCCCTTTGAGCCAATGTATCGTCAACCTTGATGTTCTCACTCATGTCCCAAAATTTCCCTTTCTGACCTCTTTTTAGGCGAGGAAACAAAAGAAGTCTGCAAGAGTCAGTTTAGGACTTTACGGAGGCTAGGAGAGAATTGAGTCCTGGCCAGACAATACTTCACAACGAAGGCGCATTGGCTTGGCGAGGTTTCCTCGCGACCTTGATTTCGCTTCGACAACCTTCGACCTTCCTTTTCGGTCTTTTGAGCACTTCCAAGAAGAAAACGGCAGTGATCCCGTGAAGTACAAATAATGCTCTCGTGGCTCAATGGCGAAGTCTCTTACCTTTCAGTACTGAGGTTTCGAGTTCGCTTCCCGTAGAACCCCATGCGAAATTTGTTACGAATTTGCATGCTTCACTGGGGCTAGTTGAAACCATGTGAAGCGTCCTAAACCTTACTCTTATCCTTATTCATTTCCAATTCTGGCCGCTGGGTAGTGACGCAGGAGCGCGTAAGAGAGAGAGGCGCATTCGCGCAGATGCTACCTGGTGGTCCTCTTGACAACTGACTGAGAGGAGACGTGACGTACTATGTAAATTAATGGAGGATTTACTCCAAAGCGCTGTGTGTCCCCCAAGGGTCTTGGAGACGCATTGCTTCTAAGTTGACGCAACAAATAAAAAATGCCTGGCGTACAATTAGTCCAGTCAGTTGGTGCTCAAATGGGCCCGGTACTGGAAAAAATTCCTGAAGTTTGTTTCTCAACGGTTCTATATATTTTTGAGGGATCAAAATCCGAATGTGATGCTTGTCACTTCAAAAAAGGTCGACTTCACAGAGAAAATCGCAAAAACCTAAACATTTCGCCCTTTTTGTAGGTTTTTGCTTATATCTTCAAAACTATGCGTTTTACAAATAATTGTTATTTACAAAATTAAAGTACTAAAAATTTCCTACAAAATACATACTTTAACGTTATATTTTTGAAAAGTTTTTACGCGCTAGAGCGGATGAAACGGATAAAATACGCCCTAAACATTTGAAATTTAAGTTATCGTACCCATCTTCTGCAGAAGTGGTTGAATTCAAACGAAATGTTCCGCATACGCTAAATGTGTTTTGGGCTGCTTAACTAACAATGCGAGGGATTATCGCTTTGGGTGTCCATCGCATCATGATCGAATTATCTGTTCGAAATGTATAGTATACGTATCGTTGCAAGAATGTAACCTGGGTGATAGTCGAAAGACCCATCCTAAGAATTTCGTGTGGAGCCTATTTGTGTCTATCAAAAATTGGGAGTGCGAGAGTTCCACATCGCAAATTGCATCTTTAAAGGAGGTCTTCAGGAAGAAATCTGAAAGTTTATCCGTATTGCTAAACGTTTTTATTTGTTTTATACTTGGTAAGCACGAAATATATTTTGTATCACCAATACGTGAATAAAATCAAACAGGTGACGTGGTAATGTTCACAGGAGCAAGTGCTTCCCTATAAATTGTTACTAATACTTTGAAATATTATTCAGTTCAGAAGAATAGAAAGTATTATTGCCACAAATTATTTTAAGCTCTTCGCACGTCGAAAAATTTCTATATCTTTTGATCTTATGTGCATTGCGGAAGAGGATATTCCTGTGTAATCCTTCTATTAAAAAAGAATCAAAGTGGGAAGAGGCGACAAAGTGTTGTGGAAAAAAGATGGGGAAGAGTGATGTTCACTAAAAAAATGTAACATTTAATACTTGTACCAGATCCTCAGCTGTCCTCAGTAGACCAGATGACTCTTGATATCACTAAAACTAATGGAAAAACTCACCAAGTTTGCAGCTGCCTTAGATGATCGACAATGTTATATCTTTAATTGTTGTATGGGATACATTTGTGAAAAAAATAAAAGTTTCAAGCCTCGTGAAATGTTTCATTCGATTGTTTGTTTCTCAATCTAATAGAACGTTTATACGAGTATTAAGTCAAACAGTCTTCGTGTCTGCGATACCAAATGCAGAATGTAATTCGATATTATAAATAATTGATCACTGAAGCACGCAAGATTTCGGCTTTTCTGCAAACATTTGGATTTTATGCCGTGGCCCGATCGAGCTGAGGAAGCCATCGGAGAAAGGAGGAGAGATTTTTAGTATTTTGAATTTGGCGCTCATGAGGCAAGCAGATTACTATCGCTCTACATTTCACTATCTAAGTAATGTACAATGGTATTTGCATACGTCTTGATCTTTATTAACGAACTTTCTCTTCTGGAAGTTTCGAAGGAATAAATGAACATGTGTCCCTACTCCAGCACGGACTGTCTGAGTTGGTTCAGAGGCCGTTGTTTCTGCAGCGACAGGAGGCCCTGAGGTGTCGCTGCGAGGGAGAATTTTTGATACTAGCTATATGTATGTTCTTGACGCGACAGCCCGTGAACGGGCTCAGTCCAACAGGCGACGTCCCTGCCTCGCGGCCATGGGTTAAGGGGGAACGTGTGGTTAGCACGTAGACATCCCTACGCCGTATTCCGGTCTTCTCAACCTGACAAGTGAATTTTCTCATCGTCGAACAGCATACACTGGGACGTTGAAAGGAAAACGCGCACTATTGTCTTGGCTCGACTGGGATTCGAACCCGGGGCCGCGTAGTAGAAGGCGAGCACGCTGACCAAGAACTAGCGACGAGCCCGATACTAGCTATATAGCTAGACTGAATTCAACCGCTGCATGGAAGAGTTCTGGCTGCCGACTGCTGTCATCGATAGATTTCTGTGGTTTCTTCCACAGGTAATTGCTGCAGCAGTGCCCTAAGAAAAGGACCATAAAACGCGTACGGTATTTCCTTTGTCTTCTTTATCCCATCCTCTCCCCTTTCTCACACACGCACACACTTAAAGGAACTACGCTAACACCAGTGGAGAGACTCGTTGATGGCTTAGAGATTTTTGTCGGCTGGTGTTCTTCTGGTGTACACTGCAGGATAAAGCCTTCCGTATAAGTGAGCGCCGGGTCTCACCATCCAGGGGGGAAGAACACCACCCCCTATTAAAATAAAAACTTTCACTACATTATCAGGACTCACGACGGACACAGCAGTTGTGCCCGGGAAAAGAGTTCAATCACAAATCGCCATGGAAGCAGCAAACACCCCATTAGCGACAACCAATATTTAATATCAATACATACTCATAGCTAGTCGGGAAAAAATATGTGATATGAAACGTCAAAATATGTACATGAATATGTAATGAAAACAGGAAGAATATGTTATAAGTATGTAAAATGAGATAAAATATATAATATTAAATTATACTAATTGTAAAACATATTTACATTTTAGAAATTACTTTCATAAAAATGTCCTAAACAAATTTTTAAATTAATACAAACGTTTTCAAAACAATTTGAAGAACACAAGTCGATGCATAATTTGCATCACACAACTTTCCTGTCAGTAGTAAAGGCTTCATCCATTGTCACCGAGGACCGCAGTTTAGCAGACAGACAAGAAGCAAAAAAGTAAGGAACAACTGGCGATATCTACGACCAGTGAACAATCACTGCAAGGTGCAGCGTGACACCGACCCGGACAGTGTCCCGGACACGGCCGCAACTATAATCTGATGTTGATGAGTAGGTGTTTGTGAAGATAAGAAGTGCATGATGGAACTTTGGTGGAATGAATGGGAAGGGAAACAAGAACCGCGATAAAACCGACCACTGACCCACTTTGGCCTTCCGAAATTCCACAAGGGTCGGCCGGGAATTGTTCCCGCGGTGGAAGGCGGGCGCTCTGATTGCTAAACCTTGGATCGTCCCCAAAAAGGTGTGAATGGGCCAGATGGGCTGACGTTTATGGAGTTCACTTAAAAACGGAAACTTTGTTGTTAATTTCGAATAGGAAACGGCACGGTTCTGCGTTATGGATCGACATACAGTCGAATACAGGAAGCACTGTGAACGTGTGTTAAATGATGTATTAGCGAAAGGAAGCTGTATGTGACATGATATTCCACGAATTGCTAGTGGAGTGTGTGAAAATTGGAAATTAAGAATAGTAAGTTATTGAAAGCGCATAACTTGTCATTGAATTGAAGTGTTGGGTACCCACGAACGTTTTGGTATCGGCAAGGTATTAAATGATAATTATCAGAAGACTAATTAAAGAGGTTTCACCGAGTCTGATGATCATGTTTGATTTTGTTCGCGAACGATACGAGAGAGCTTGAGAAGTTAGTGTGAGTGATAGCTGAATTCAGCAGCGGCGTAGTGGAAGTTGCCAGAATATACCACTTCTGAAAATAAACTGCCATTTTATGAACGATTTCTTGGAATGAAAAATGTCGTTTATAATGCTCGTTGGCCACAAAAAAACAACAACAACAAAATCATTTGTACGGGTGCGCTAATAAAACTGCAATTCATTGTCGCATAGAGATATTCTTTAGACTGGTCGGATTTTTATTTGTTTATCGAACGGTAATCTTGTTTTGATTATTTCTTACCCTATGAGTGGCAGTATAGTTCGTAATATCCCATAAAAATACGCGGTACAAGAAAAGCGCACGTAAACACTCGTATAACCAGAGGGCCTCATAGTGAACATCAAGAAACTAGGGTAAAAATAGTCTCGTTCGTTCTAGGAGCATGGTGATGTAATAAACACATCTTTGTTTTCCTGCACGAGTAACTGTAATGTATTCTGAACGCACTCGTACAATCGCTCTTGTGAGACACCAAAATAACGGTCTTAGAATATCGAATTGCCTGGAATAATGGCCGAAATCTGTAGCTCATTTTTCTTTGCCAGTTGTGTCTACTGCGCGGAAGCGATTATTGTCTTATCAATTCTTGTTAAAAACATTCGTTGCTATCTGTATTTATTATTCTATTTAAAATGTCTGAGTTAATGAGGGATTTCAGAGCTGAAGCAAATGTGCACAGATTACACGTCTTCCCTTAGTATGTCAAACAGTATTTAACTGATTTTGAGGTGAAATACATAAATAAATACGATTTTGTAATGCATTCTCTGGGCACGTTTGTCCAATATATTTGATCAGCTTTGTTTCGTTAGCGACTTAGTCTCTGTTAAAAGTCATTATTGAGAGTTTAATATGTTCGTTTGAGTTGTATGATCGGTTAAAAAAGAGTGGGTTCATGAAATTCCATCCTGAGCATGGGCTGTTCACATCCCTACAAAACATTGTTTCTACTCTCAGGTAGATGTGACTTCCTAATGTGAATTGTGTTGTTTTGGCGTGCCATGCAGTGATGGAAATGTTTGTGGTCTGCTTCTACATGTTGCTGACAAAGAAGATGAAAGTGATTGAAAACTTGAAGTGAACCATGTAATATATGTTTGAGAGCATTCAACGAGTACGTGCGAATCTTCGTGAAAACGCCAGGTAACATCACCATCAAAGTTATAAAAGTTCTCTAACTTTTTTTAAATTCTTCGTTCCACATTAGAAAAGAATTGAATTAAGTACATTCACAGATATGCCTGTGTGTTCCGCCCCGAATTGTAAGAATCGACTGGAGAATGGTATTCGCTTTTTCCGTTTGCCAAGTGACGAAGAAAGGAGGAGATGGTGGTTGGAGAATAGCGGGAGAACGAACTGGCAACCGACAGACAGCAGTCGCTTTTGCGAAGTAAGTACATCTCCTTTAATGACCAGCATAAAATATTGTAGATAGGTTTTACTGTTATACACAACGCATCAGTACATACTGTTTTAGTCGCATTTTGAAGACTCACAGTTTGAATCTAGAAGAGCAGATGGGTGGAGAAAACTTAAGCCAAATGCTGTGCCAACCATTTTCAGTGGTCCTGCTGAAATTACAAACGTGAAATCACATAATAAACCGCACCGTATAAAGAAGATAGCCGAGAGGAAGGTAAATTTTATTTATTTCTTATAAATGTGTATTTTGTTGAAAACGTTAACGATATTGTGTGACAGGATTAGAAACTTAATTTAAATGAAACTACACGACATATCTTTGTGATATCATTCTTCGTGAAATTAATCGAGACTGAATCGCCACTGGATCATGGGTACTCCGATGTTCCGTGTAATATCAGTTTGGTTGTTTTTGAATTTTGGATGTACTCTGCCAGTGCTTGCTTTTCTATTTGAAAATTCTCTTCTACCTTAAGTCCATGCCCTCCAGATCTGCGTGAAAGTTAGTTCATACACATTTTATGTTGCCAAAGTTCATTATTTTTTGAAATTCTATTTGGCGAGGTTTAGCTTGTCAGTAGTAGTTCATGACATCTGTGTTCTGGACCGTACTCCGCTTTCGTTGTTGCTTCAGCTCCGCACTACTATCCCTGGTTGTCCAACCGCAGACCCTGGGTCCTGAAATCCATTTTTCCGCCAGATACCCAGCCCTTGAGACCTGGCTGATGACCTAGCCGTTGAGGTTGGCGTTCATAACAGAGGGTTTGTCTTTTCACCCTGTGGCCACGAATGAGTGTCAGTTGTGATTCTCGTAACTCGAGTTCTGAGAGTCGCTGTTGACTTGTAACTGTTCTTTCTCGGCCTCTCTGCGAGCCAACCTTGGTAATTATCTGATACCAACCTGGCAAGTCTGGTCAAATCGATCGGATTCAGGGGCTACGTTAAGACCCCCATTTCTCATCTCTTCGTCGAGATATTCCGTCGAAGTGGACTGAGAATTATTATGAAAATTATTAGTGTTAGTGTTCAATATATTCAGTCCTTGCTGTATCCTCTTAAACCTGCTGTATGAGCCGAGGCATTGAAGCAGAAAACCTTCGAATGATGACTTCTGAAAAAGCGATCAGCCTCTTGTCACTTGTATCAATCGTTGCAGTCAAATGATTTGAAATCTGAATCTAGTGAATGCTGTTATTATTTGAAATGGCTCAACACAATACTACGTTTTGAAAGACACTTAGGGACATAATGTTTATAAGAATATTTATTAATACAGTTGACTCTCGCTATAGCGAACTTTCGGATACAGGAAAATGATGTTATAGGTCTCAATCCACATACATAAATAATACGCATTAAAAGATTCTGTTATCGTAAAATCTTAACAGTGGTTATAGTGAACGTGGTAAAAGACTTCCAGGAAAAAAACTCTCTCAGAACTGCGAATTCATAAAACAGGTAGAGGTCTCATGAGTCATTTTTGTAACAGTTTGTTTTGCAAATCAAATTGGATCTAGCTATGACTATCGGCAACTATGTATGTCGGTGAAAGGCTGTTTCAGAACAGAAGAAAACAAATAAGATATCAAAATAAAGGAGGTTCTCTGGTGAAACAGATACTGAAAAGGGTCAAAATTGCTCAAAAACATTGAAGGAGTGGATAATGTAGAATGATCTGTCAAGAAAGCACTCGTATTTTGAAATTTTGAATTCATGGCAATATAATATTTTTATGAACCTCTGAAATATTACATCCAGTCATAGCAGAAAAATCGTATTATATTCGTATATTTGGATTATTGGATATAGTGAACCAAAAATGTTAATTTATTGAGCTTCACTGTAACCGGACACTTCTGTTGTTTTTTTCTTATATATTTCTGACGACCAAGTATTTAAAAAAAAGAGAAAGAGTTATGACCTATTATTTCAGTTAAACGTGGTTGAGGAAAATTTTATGAGAGTTAAACTTTAACCAAGCGAGCCAGTTTTTCTGACAAAAGCAGTGTTTTCAAGGTCTTTCCATTGTCAGACAGTAAATTGACACTTTCTGCGCCAGTAATACGAGGAGCTGAAAGTTGAGTAGAAATCGTATTTGAGAAGAATTGTGAGAAAATGACGTGGATCGTCTGGCTGTGAGTAAGCTTCTGAATCTGAGACAGCAACTGGCATCCTATAGAACCTTCCAATTAATTTTGTATGTAATAAAATGAAACGCTTTGTTATGAAACATGTTACCATCTTCGTTTTAGTAAATGAAAAGAAGATACGCCCTCATTTGCGAAGTGTTTCTGTCCAGTTCAATACATTTAATCCAGCATCCACACAAATCATGTACATGAATTGTTCTACAACATGTAAAGTTAATGAATTACTCAACCTGATTAGAGCAGCGTTTTGTCTTCAAATCAGCGAAGTCGCTCATCCGACGTCTGCGAAGTCTTTTGCTAATGTAATAATTTTTTACACCGAAAATGATAAAAAATTATATTTGTTTGGGGGAAGACGCATCTACTTCAGATGCAAAGAAAGGTCCAGCTCAACAATTCTGTAGATCGATGAACAACAGGACGAGTTTCGCCACGCATTTCCAGAGGTGGTTTGTGGTTGTTTAACGTACCACTTGTCACGAGACTATAGGGCGTCGCCATTGTGTAAAACACACTTTTCAAAGAACGTGTTTCAAGAAGAAACAGATACGGCGGGTGAAGCGCGCGACTGCACACATGTTGTCCGGGAGAAGGACTTATCTCTGGACCTGTCGTAGGAAGTGTAATACAATTCAACTGATTTTCAGGAATTGATTCTTCTCCATTACAGAATGGACCCGGAAAATCTTAATTATAGAGGTATCAGGCTTGACACGTTTGAGCGTCCTCTTTATGAAGTATCATAAAAAAAAAAAAAGAAAGAGAAACCACCTGCCTTTGCATTGAATGACGAACACGACTAAAACGCATAGTGTAATGCATTCTTTCATCTGTCAAAACAGCATATGCAAGGCAAGAGTCCAAGATGTTTAAATCTCACCTCACTGCAGTTCATGAAAACCACATAAAATAAACACATTACAGGTGCCAAAGAATACACGTTACATACGTTTTAGGCAGATAGAGGTTTTGTAGTTCAGGAAGGCCGCCGAACCAAACTTATGGACGACGGACGGATTGGCCGCCATACACGGACCATTAGCTATGGTTGCCTTCATGCAGCAAATTGTTGGGCCCTTTTTGCAACGTCCGCTGAGTGCAAGTACAATTTGTGGACGCGACCGCCCTTACCCGTAGAATTCTTTTCGACGCCCACCTAGAATCCGCAGAATCTGGAGGAATTACGTAGATTGGGATGGCGTAGAACTACTGAAATATCTGCTCATCAGGCTGCAATGTCTGATGTGCTTTCGCACAAATTGCCACCCAACGCCATTCTGAATGACTCAGTATGTAATTATGTAATACAAATAATATTCATACTCTGTCAAATTGAAATTATATGTTTTCAGTGATCTTTACGTAACATTGGTCTTCGATCTATTCTTCTAGGTGTAACTTTTTTTTTACTGCCAAGGGCATTCTACGATGGTGTGAACAATATATGTCACGTCATTTTGAACGTTCAGTCAGAACCTCTTCACAATCACGAGTTCGATGAAGCAAGGTTCGCTATTTTCGACGTATGGATTTTGAAAGTGGTAATATGTGCCTGTAACTGAGTTTATGAACTTGACAGCAAGTTCAACTGCCATTGTAAGTACCAGGGATGGGCGTCTTAAGCCGTTTCAAAAGATGAAATATTAGTTGATGGGGAAATTTTGTACGTTATTCATCCATCTATTTTCGAACTTCTTCTTAAGAAAGGTAATTTTTGCTATATACTGTGTAGTCTGTCCAAAGAGGAAAAGATTATATTTCGAAAATAAACTCTCTCGATTATTTTGCCCAGTCCAACACCTATATTAGAAAGCCATGAACAAACGTGACAACGTTGAGTTCGGAGAGTTCAAGAAGTGAACCGGTCTCCGGCGCATCGGGGCTACGGGCGAACAGCTTTGAGATGCAAGCTATTACTTGACCAGAGTTGAATAGAAACAATTCAGTTGCTATTTTTTTTATTAAGTACGTCTTAAAACGTGGTTAATGAATAAGGTATATGAAATACACCTTAAATGAACATAGTCTGTCATATTTTAACAAAAGGTAGAAATGTGGGTGTAGAAAGTAAGAAACAGTTTAATGAAGAAAGAAAAGATTTTATTGCAGACAGATTTGTAATTTTCATTTTGCTATAAATCATTTACCTACTTTGTGAAGTTATTTAAAATGACTTTAGCAAACGCAGAAGTCATCCGTATAATTGTTCATTATACTCTAAACTCGGCGTTGCCCTGACCGATTTGAAATGGTTGAGCTGCAAAAACCACGCAATAATTGGATCTGACAGTACTTGAAAATTGAAACGTTTGAGCATGAGAAAATGAAGCACATGTGATAAGCATATGAATTGCTTATTACTAGCCAATGAAAGATCTTTATTTCCAAGAAATATAGCACAGAAACTAGAAATTTAATTGGATATTTTCGAAGCATTTGGAGCACTGAACTAGTGATTGTGGATGTTGCATGTTATAATACCTGTTGTTGGGATTCAAACCCTAGTTGAGGAGAACTTTCCATCCTGAACTCTTAATATCCAACCATTCTTATGTCAGTTGATGTTTTTTTTTCGTGTCCGTCAACGTTTCAGGTCAATATTCCCGTAAAAGTAGTGCGTGTTTAATCGTGGTGATCTTACTCCGGTGCATGGCGAGTTCCGGCACCGTCCTATCAGTCAGCCTGCGGCTTTTCCCCAACCACGTATCTCCCACCAGCGGTGCACTGCCTCAGCTGGGACAAGCTCTACGCTTCCGACTGGTCTCCCGGTATGTGTGGTAGTGCAGTGCATTTAAGTGTAAGGGGTGAGGATAGGACAAGAGGAAGAGGAAGGAAAGATCGCGCGCGGTCCATGGCACGTCTGTTAGAGTACTGTTCTGGCATTTACCTGGTTTTGATTGGAGAAACCTCGTAGGTGGTACCCCGTAGCATGTCACATAGTTTTTTATCGTTTTTGTCGTTAATAAATAAACAGAAAACTTTTTTTAAAATGTACGAAACAACCCGGGAAAATCAAATTCATATTCTCGCACCTGAATAACTGAAGAAAAAAAATGTTAAATTCCAAAACGCTGATTCCAGATAGCTGGCCACCCTGTACGATAGTCTAGCGTGGGTTCTCCTATCAACACCAGACGAATGCCAGTGGCGTGCCGTAACGAAAGGCACACGGACCGCGCGCGATCTTTCCTTCCTCTTCTTTCTCCTACACTAGCACATGTATCGGGAGACCAGACGGAAGCTTAGAGCTTCACAAAGCTGGAGGAGCGCATCTTTAGGGAGATACAGTGAAACCCCGCAAGCCGACGTATAGGTTTGCGCCGAATCTCGCGTTCCGACGGGAGGGAACTTTGACACAGATATAATGCGCACTACGCTTACGTGACCTAATAGTTGACATGCCTTGGAATACTGAAATAATTATTGAATCCACAATGATGATGCCGAAAATGACAATTCACTTCCAGGACTCTCGATTTGAATGTTAGCTGATTACCATAAAGACCTCTCTTCTGAAGACAAAAATGCTTAGATTTAATGTGGGCATATCTTCGCCAAAATTGTTTTTAAGAAAAGATGAGTAGGTAGCTTTAAATTTGTAGGTTGAAAACGTATATTATTTTTCAATAACCTAATATACTTGTTTCCTCCAAGACACGTAACAGTATGCCATGTGTGGAGTACCAGGAGTGCTTGACATTGTCTCAGCTTCTAATTCCATGCTGATGTCACGTAATACAAATTCGTCAGTATTTGAAAAAGGGAAATATTTTGCTTGTACTTTTACTCTATATTTTAATCACAATACAAGGTGTATTGATGTGTAGAACTCTTCTTTTGAGTTATCATATTGCTAGTCATCTGAATGTTGTTGTAAATCAGATATGAACATGTGTATTAATGCAGGTTAGTCTCAAAAGTGAGGAATCGGAACTGTAAAATTAATTTGATGAACTACAAAACCACAAGTTTCATTAAGTGAAATATGCAATTTGTATGTTAAAGGAAGTGGATTCCTTGGTCCCTAATGTAAAGCAGAGTGATGTCTTTGAAGATTCTTTTTCAAATAATGAGGACTGTGATTTCTTACCCAACCAACAGGCTGAGACAGTAATGCGTCAGATCCCTGTAAGTTCCTTCTTTAAAATGAAAAAAAAAAAAAAAAAAAAAAAAAAAAAAAAATCAATTTGAGACTTATTATTCCTAGTTTTCATTGAGTTTTTAAAAGTACAAAAGGTTACCTCTTCTTGGCTTAGAAATAAGTAATTTATTTTCACATGTTTTGTGTTTTCCAGAATGTGGCCCAATGGGTTGTGGATCATGCTTATGTTAAGGAGACTGTTGACCACATTAAGCTAAACAACAATAGTCCTACGAAGGTGAGAAAAGGAAGCCATTGTGATGAGCAAACTGATCAACAGGGGAGTCAGGTAAGATTTTATGTCATAATTTTGTCATATACTTTTAAGAACAATACAATTCCATGAACCAACAAGCCTACTAATTTGCCCTGTGAATTTTACAATATTGCCAGGATATCACTGTGTAAAATCTCCCCAAAACATATCCAATACAAGATTCCATCTGGAGGCAATTATCCACAATGTGACATCAGTCAATAGAATATCTGATTTGGTGCCTTCAGAATAATTTTAAGAGTAGCCCTGTCCACAAAAAGTTTTAAAAATGACATAGAAAATGACCAGGAAATGTTGATAATCACATGAACATTGAAACAAATTTTTAAAGGTGCAATTCCATTAACGCAGTATTCAGAGAATGTTGTATATTGTTCTGCATTTGAATTAAAGGGGAATTATAATTTAAGAATTACTAATTCTGGAAGAGATTAGCACCTCTAAAATATGCTAGTAGAAATTAGTTATGAATTCAAGAAATTGATAAAATAACGAAATAAAATGGAAAAGAATTTAATAAAATGATATAAAACAGATTATAAAGCATTTGATGTAACAGATTGTACAGTTTTTATTTGATGAAGTAGGAACATGTGTTATAATCAGTACTATGTTATTTTATTAAATTCTTTAGTTCTATTTCGTTATTTTAAAAATTTCTTGATTTTTTGAATGGATGTTGGTAGATTTAAAAGCGGTAAACTCTGACACAATATGACCGATCCCCCTGAAAGTTGGCACATCATCGTTTTTTCTCAACTACATGGCGCTGTAGAACAAAATTGCGCTTCATTTAAATTCAATTTCCATTCAAATACGCTCACCTGCAGACTTCATTCAGAGAGTATATATATATATATAGTAGTATATATATATATATACAGTAGTATATATATATATACAGTAGTATATATATATAGAGACTTCATTGTTGCTGACCGTTACCGTGTGACGCAGGGTGAGGCCCAGGAGAATCGGACGGTCGCGCGTGAGACAATGAGGCAGAGAGAGATAGAGTGACGGTGACAGACAGACAGACCGACAGACACAGACACGCAGACAGACAGACACGCAGACAGACAGACACGCAGACAGACAGACACGCAGACAGACAGACAGACACGCAGACTGACAGACACGCAGACTGACAGACACAAATACAGACAGACACACACACAGACAGACAGAAATACAGAGACAGGCAGAAGCAGAGAGAGGGAGAGGTAGAGAGATACGGCACGCTTAAGTAAGCAAGAAAGAAAAATAGACAGGCAGAGAAAGACGGGGACGGACATAGGCGGACCAAGGAAGATAAGCAGACAATCAGAAAGAGACAAAGTCGCAGAGAGAGAAACAGAGAGGTAGAGAAAGAAATATAGACAGAAATAGAGTGTCAAGAGACAGAGTCATAGAGATATACACAGATACAGAGAGAAACAGATATAGAGAAAGACAGGGACAGGCAGAAGCAGCGAGAGTCGCGGAGAGAAACAGAGACATGGGGACAGAGAGGGACAGGGATAGCGAGATGGAGATAGACAGATTGAGAGGGAGAGACTAAGATGGAGAGGGAGAGGCAGACAAGGACAGATGGAGATAGATGATCAGAGTTAGACAGAGACATACACAGAGATAGAGACAGACGGACAGAGAGAGAGGGGGAAGAGCGACGCATGTAAGTAAGAGAGAGACAGAGGGACAAAGAGTCAGAAAGAGACATGTAGAGGCAAGACAGACATGGACAGGGACACAGAGCGAAACAAACAAGAGAGACAGGTAGAGAGAGTAACACGGAAACATTTTATTTTTCACAAGGGTTGAATATGAAAAAAAACAGGCAGAGGCTTTAGAGGTCAATATTTGAGCAAAAATTAATATCTGTATTTGTCTCTATTATTGGGCGATGTTAAATTTACCAGACCCTTAATTATGAATTAACCCATTTGTGTCTTTTGACATATCTCAAATGTCATGACTGAGAATGGCCTTCCTGTCTTTTGAGTTTGAGAGATCTGTGTGTGATGTGTTAGCATACAATACTCGAGCTCCTGAAAATGGAGTTGTACGAGGTTCTACGTATTTCTATTTACGGCATTTTCTGGTGTATATCCTGGCATTGTGTTGAAATGTCATCACTAGTCTTTTAAAAATTTTAAGTTGACGTACTATAGAAAGAAGGTAGGCCAAGGCATTTAAATTTGAGGGAGAAGTCTAGTGCAAAGAAGGAAAAAAGGTGAGGAGAATGGATTAAGATTTTTTTCACTTGGTTCATAAATTTACCAAAATCTCTCTCTCTCTCTCTCTCTCTCTCTCTCTCTCTCTCTCTCTCTCTCTCTCTCTATATATATATATATATATATATATATATATATATATATATAATGAAGAAAACGAATAATAAAAAGAATAATAATAAAGAAAACCATATTTAGAAGGTTAGACTACTTTAATTTAATTTAATTACATATGTACTTATTTAATTTGGGATATTGTATTAATATTGATACTGAAGGGACTGAACATTTGGTTCAAAAATATATCTTATATTGTCTTCTTTCGAATTTTTCTCTCCCTTTTTATATTTTATTGAATATTTCAAAGGTTATTGTTTGTTATTCATCTTGTAGAATTGGTTGTATTATAGAAGAAAATAGTACTGTGGGAAAAGGGATAGAAAAGATTTATGAGGCATTTGGTAGAAATTTTTAAGTATTTTGGAAAGTTTTCAATTTATTGATTTCACTGTGAAGAAAAATGTTGAGATTATAGAAATCATTAATGTTAATTCTTTAAACATTTTATATGTTTTGTTCAGAATATCAATAACAACATCCTAGCTTGTATTTAAGAGTGTCTGTGTGATTGACAATTGAAATATTGGTGAAATAAAAAGTTTTAATGAAAAGATGTCACTTGGTTAATAATCATTTACACATTATAGTAAACAAAGAATTTAAAGAAGTAATTATAGAATATTTTCAAGAAACTTTTGAAAATTTAATGTGTTTTTACAGACTCCAGAGCCTTTGCATTTATTGCAGGTTCCAGAACAAGACAACACTACCAGAAAAACTCTAAGGTAAAAGATTTTAAAATAATTGCCACCTTGTTGGACGCAATTACACTTGGATGATATGTTCCATAATCGTAAAGAAATCCAAATTTTGACCATGTTACTGAGAAACAATGCAATTTAAGAATGAAATTTGTTCAAAGAATTAGTTGTCCTGACATCGAATTCGGGGCAACCAATTCTTTGAACAAATTTAATTAGTAAAAGTTGTTGTATTCATATACCCTTGCTAGTAATTCTTAATGAAAAAATGGTGACTTTCATTGTTTCTGTTAAAATTGAATTAACTTTTGTACTATACCAGTTAATATTGAGATATTTTTCTGACTACTTTCCCATATCATATAGCAAGTCTTACTTATGTAATGAACTATCATAATTTTTTGATACCATATCCTCCGCTTATCATACTCATCATTCACTATCTCAATATGCACTTTTGACCCTATTGATTTTAGTTATCACATCTGTTTTCCTTTTGCTTTAGAAATATTTTTGAATATCACTTATTGGGAGAATCTTATAACATGCTTTGTATTTATATATTTGCATATATATTTTATTACTTAGTAGAAAAATATCTTCTTCAAGAATTCAATATACAAAAGAAAAACATCATGGCTCTTGAGAGAAAAATAAAACATTTAGAACTTATTTGAGTTTATTTCTACAGCAGTATTGCATAGCAGAATACAATACTATATTTGACAACTGCAATGTGTTGTAAGCACAATTACAGGTCTTCTGATGGCCCTCTGCCTGTAATTCAAAATTCATTGATTGTATTTTGAAATTTGAGTTTTGAGCAAGAATTCTAACTGCATTCTTAGAATTGGTATTTTTTTATGAAAAATTGAAAAGTAGAACACAATTCCTATAAGACTGCACTAATTGAAGATGCCTTACTACATAATATTTTAAAACGCAAATTGCAACAAATATTTCTGAGGAGTAAATTGTCAACTCTCTTTGCTTCCAAAACAAAATTGAATGTTTTTTATTATTTTATTTATGGTACTATGCCTATTCTAGTACTGAACTGAAAGAAAAATAATTACTAGAGGCAGGAACTGAGACAAAATTTCTTCATGTAGCAGCAATGGCTTAGCTGTGTATGTGGAAGGGAGTTAGATGATGTTCATTTTATGTCTAGTTAACTTCTGATGCATATTTAAAGTATTTTGTCTTATTTTGAACTTTTTTTTCCTCTTGTCTTTGTTGTGCTTTTCTTCCCGGCACCAATCTCAGTCAACTTGGAAACTTATGTGGACACTGTTACAGCAGATGTTGAACTTGTGCTCCAGGGTTAAGATCAGAAATAATAGCTATGTTTCAATGATACCATTCGAGGATTCAAAAGAAAATTGACAATCTGTAGTTGCACCTTGTAACACAGCATTAGGAGTAAAACAAATTGAGTGTCAAAATGTACTGTGCCATTAAGAATACTTTTCAATAGTGAATAATAGTCATTGCGATGGCCAATTGAGTTTGTAAAACAATTTTAAAAAATCTAGCGGTAATTTGAAATTAATATTAACAAGGAAGATCAAGTTTTCATGTAAGTTCTATTGGAAATTTCAGTGTTACAATTCATGCCTGCCAATCCTGCATCAATTAAAATTATTTTGCACACACAGTATTTAAAAAAATGCATCTGTTCCATTTTTATGTAGCTTTTTGAAAGTGTACTTACGACAATAAATGCCTATTTTATTTAAATATCTGAATTTCCAGGCTCTAATAATTAATTATGAAGTCCATGATGTATAACAGTCCTTCAACTTGTCAAACTTGATAAAAAAGGTGTTTTTAATTTTGGGGTGGTTTGTAATAAAGTGATAATGTCATGATGGAATGCTACCAATATATTTACGGAATTTTGGACAATTTATCAGTCATTATCAAGATGCATCAATGTTAACCTGGCTTCAGACAGCATATCATTTTTTGTTTTCTTTGAATGGCAACATCTCTCTCTGTTTTCTTTCTTAAAATTTGCTGATATTGTTTTCCTCCCACAATCTCTTGTTTGTAGTTGACAGACTGCATGGAAAATGTGTTCAGAGAAGAATGGTTTTACAAAATTGACTGAAGATGAATCAAATAAGTCATATTTTTTATATTTTTTACTGCTAATTTCTTTCCAAATCTCCGTTTACTTGAAATTTGAACATATTCACACACTTCCAATGTGCCAAAAAATGTAATGACCTTTTCTTATTTATAATTTCTTCATTATTACTGCATGAAACAATCACTCCTCGTAAAATCTTTGAGTTTTTTTACCTCCAAGTAGTTGTCACTGAATATAGGTTCCATTTCTTTTCTTCTTTCTGTAAATGTTACAGATAACTTTTTTCTTTACCATGGCTCTAGTTCATTTCTGTTCTGTTTTACATTGCAATTGTCTGTTTCAGAGGACAGATAATCCAAGAGAATAATGGAATTCGCAGTTGGAGGAGAGGTGTGTTAGGTCGACGAAATCCTTTTGTTGATTTGAGTGAATCAGAAGAAACAGATGTGACTGGTGATTCTACAAAAGAGAGAGACAGAAATGAGTCTCCACAAAGATGTAAAATAGAAGTAATGGGAGTGAAAAGTCTGCGTGGCAAAGGGTCAACAAACTATTATGTAAGAGGAGCTAATGCCTGGAAACCAATCGGAGAACCAGTTGTGCAGTTGACTCCATTAGCATCAATAAGCAATAAAAATGAACAATTCAATTGTGTCAAGCCCCTTGCAGGCCAAACGTTCAGCCAAAGCAGCTTTAGAAATGGGGTTTCAGAGAGAAGAGGAAGAGGACGTGGAAGGAGGGGAAGAGGCAGGGGAATAAGCAGAGGGATCGCTAGAGAACAACAGAATGCAGAAGTTAAAAAGTCAATCACTCAGGGTGAATGTACAGAAGGAAAAGCAAACATTGGACATGTAGAGAAAGAAGAGAACATGGAAGAACAGAAAATGGAATTATCCGAGAGAATGCAACAAGCATTGTCTCTTAGAAGAGTTCAAAGAATTAGAGGTGGGAGAGGAAGGGGAAGAGGGAGAGGAAGGGGAATAGGAATAGGAAAGGAAATAGGAATGGGAAGAGGGAGGGGGAGGGGAAGAGGAAGAGGGAGGGGAAGGGGAAGTGTGAATGTGTACACTACAGTATTAGGGACAAAAAGTTTTGGTGCTGCTAGTAATCATGTTGGACTGTTAAAATCAAGGTTTTACCGAAGACGAGGGACACCTAGAGGTAGGGGAAGAGGTAGAGGGAGGGGGACGTTAATTGTGGCTGGAACTGAGACTGGAACAATGAAGGAAGGTTCTGTAGATTCAGATGTTAATAGAGTTAAGCTAAAGAAATCACAGGTAAGCCTAAATGTGAAAAGAGGTGGTGTGTTTGTTGGTTTGACTAGAAGGGGAAGAGGGCGAGGGAGGGGAAGAAGTGTGGAATTAAGAGTGTCAGAGAGGTTAAAAGATAGAACAGAAAATACTTGTACAGTCAATAATGCAATGTTATGTGAACCAATCGTACATGATACTCAGACAAGTGAGCCAAACACCTTGCAAAAAGTGAATGTTAGTGAGAATGTAAATGTGAAGCCCAGTGGAATCTCGAGAGAAATGGTGGAAAGAGGTGGACCTTGGGGAATGGGAGAGAGCACAAGAGGAAGAAAGAGAGGACGAGGGAGACCACGAGGAAGAGGGAGATCACTAGGCAGTGGAAGAGACAGGCAGGAGGAGACACATTTAAAAGAAGCAGGTTCCTCTGATGATTCAGATGCATCATCAATTTTTGGGTCGAATGAGCCAGGGATGGACAGTCAAATCAAGACTTCACTTTATGGTAAGTGCACAGGATTTTAAATTTACTTTAATATTCATTTACAGTCAATAAGAAAATATTTGACCTAATTAGAGGTCATGGGCTTAAAACCAGCTAACTTTTTTTTTCTTTTATTATAATTTGTAGATAGTGCGGATATAAGTATTAGTTCACGTGGTAATACTAATATTTATGGATATATATGCTTCCTACTTGTACTACAAATTGTCACAGATTTTCTCGTACTAGTTAGTTCCCTATTCTTTTGAGTCGGCTACCTTTATGGTTTTCCCCACCCGCTTCCAGGCTGCCACCTATCTGTTCGTAAGGGACTTACCATGGCCTCTCGCGATAACTACCGCTCTCTTGAGGGCTCATTGCAGGGAAGAACTTCCGCAATTTTCGAAAATTCAGAAGATTTTGCGTAAATCACACCGGTGTTATTTTTATTAGGAATTTTACTCTATACGAGCAACAAACAGATAAACTAACAAAAAAACTGTTTTTTTCGCACAGCATTTCTCTCTACTCCGTGGCGAGAAAGTTACATTGGTGCAATTTTTTGAGAAAATTTCGAAAATGTCGTTGAGGCTTTAAGTTAAAAAAAATATTTATTCGACGCCCAAAATAGTTAAAAACTGTGTATTTCCTGCTTCAGGGAGAAGTGAGTTCTGTGCACGTTTCCTTAACTCTTGGTTCCAGAGACACATTTTGGGAGGGGAAATTCAAACTTTTTGTGCCTTATTACACATTTTGTCAAATGTGTCAGGATACACTCGGCTTATGCTGTGATACTATTTTATTCGTTTTAATGATTCTCCGAAAATGTTTTTGCTTGAGAGTTTCGTGACAAGTTAAAATTAATAGTTACTGAAAAATTATAGGGGAGGAAATTTCCCTCCCCGTGGATTCGTGCCTTCTGGGACCTCTTTTTCCATATTTGAGCTAGTGTAATAAAGTCTGTTTTCAAGGGCAAATAAGCTACAGAGTTTGGCTCGTATTCCTTATCAAGCCCTTCGTGAAGGAATATACTTCCTGCCCCGACAACACGGAGAACGATAGTTTGAATAACTGTGTTTCCCAACGAACTCTAGAAACGTGCTCAGATAGTAAAGACACATTTATGTCAAGAAGCAAAACGAAGGGGCCATCTCAGCATTCGCTCAAAGAATCAGGGAAACTGGACGTAAAACCTGATGGAGATGTGCTCATTGACCCAGATAACGAGGTGCAATTCTTGTTGTGTAGAATTAAGTAGTCTAATAGGTAATTAATATGTTACTTATTATTGTTAAAATTGATACTCGTATTACTTTGCTTTTTGATGCCCAGTATGTGTGTAGAAACAGTTATGCAGCAGAAAAGATTTTAGTTATAGACATCGGCGTTTGCTGAAAATATATTCCACCCATTTTTGACAAAGCCATTGATTCGTAAATCATGATAATGTAAGTGTAAAATTCCTAGATTCATATAGAGAAGCTTACAAGAATCACGTGGACGGGTTTGCTTATTAATCGTACTATTCTTTTTGATAATCTAAATATTTTTCTATAAAATGGAATAAACATTCGCGAAATATACACAACGATCAGTATGAAGGTTGACTGAATTTGAAAGGATTCTGATCGCGTAGCATAACGTACTTACTTTTGTGTTCAATTCATTTAAAGGAATTTTCCATTCGCAGTTTGATTGAATTGAGAGACCTACAAATTTTGTACCTGAACATCAATCAATGGCTCATCGTTAATTTTCAATGGAGTACGGAACTGTTTATTTAAAATGGAAAACTGAATTTAAACAGTTTTCTTTTCATTTACTATTAATTTGATATTGCGGAACCATTTTGAAAATATGATATTGTATTATTTACGGTTTCGATACATTCTTTATGGCAAAGAATATTCATACGCAAAGATAACCATTCTTTCTCTTCGAATCGTCGAGGGCATTTCGTTTACGTTTTTAGGAAGATAAAGGGACCTAAAATCGATAGCTGTGGGACTCCATGTGCAATTGGCAATGAATCGGAAAGGAGTGTATATAATGTCCCATTATTTCAGTACTAAAACCATCACCAACATTCAGTTTCAAACGGTTTTTCTAATCTCTGATATACTTATTTAAGGTACGAACATAATCAATCAAGAGCTAGACCACTGATTATTTCATACTAAGGTAAGTTTGAAAGCAAAATGTAATGATCAATGATGTCAAAAGCTTTTGAAATACCTAAAAATATTCCAAACAGTTGCTTCGTTTTATCCAGGAATGAAGCGATATCTTTAAGAAAAGAAAATATGTCTGTTTCCGTAGATTTTGATTTTCTAAATCCATGTTGCAATTGTGAAAAAGATTCGCGACCTTAAAAAAAACCAGATTCATGGGGCCGTGTCATAGCCAAAACGATCGGAAGTTATGAATATTTGTGGAAATTGTGTGGTTTCGACTTAAGTTTTGTTTACGGTCAAATGGATTGCCGAAAATTACTTTTTCGGTACCAGCGACCTACAAAACCTGAAAATAAGTTGCTGTATATCGAAAAACCCACTTTTTCGGTATCATGATCCTACAAAATGATTTTTTCTGTCGAAAAATTACCCGAGAAATAAAAAAGCAGTCGAAATGTGTAAATTGTGTGCTTTTTTATTTCTGGGTTAAGTTTTCTTTTGAACAAATATATTCAATTTCTTTTGTAAATAATAAACAAAATACATGTTTCTGATATATTTCTATGCTTCTGCAATGCAAATTTTTGCCTAGAAAGCATTTTTTCATACCAACTTTTGAGTGCTTATTGCGGCTCAACCATTCAAAATATCCCAGTAGTTTATTAGACAAAATATTCTTAAAATGGTCTTTAAGGGCTTCTTTTCGAAGTTTCGGATATATGTATGTATGTATATATATATATATATA